TTACATAATGAAATTTAATTTCGTGGCCTATAATTTTTTTTTTCCATAAAATCACATATATACTAATTTTATTAAGTAAATACATTTATATATAGCAACAAAAATTTACCAATAATTGCAACAACACTTTAATAACTGCAAATTTAGAAATTTATGGACAAAATATAAACAACTTTGTTTAATTACATATTGCAATATAATTACATGGCCTACAATTTATTTATTTTTTTAAAAAATCACATATATATTACTTATATTATATAACTGATTTTAAAAATTAAATAATTTTTTTTTTACCTCAATATGGCTGAATTGCAACAACAATATTCTTCTACAAATTTAAGAAAATTAAAATTTGGAGGATTTTAAAGTGTTTACAAAATTATATCAAAATATATCAAAATGCATGTCTATTTATAGAGAATTTAATTTTATGACCGTTGGTAATTTTTTTTTTTTTTTTACAAAATATATTTTTCTGAAAATGCTTAATAAATAAATAACCGTTGTAAACGGCTAGTAATTTGTGATTGGCTCCTCCGCTGCATCTGCCACGCGTCGCTTCTCCACTCGCCAACCGCCTGCACGCGTCAGATCTTCTTCCTTTTTTTTAAAAAAAATTCTGGCAGCTCAAAACGACGCGTTTTGAGGCTGCTTCATCAAAACGCGTTGTTTTGATGGTGGGGGAGGCGAAATTTTTTTAGTGGGTCTGACGCGTGTGGGGCCCACTTCATTTACTGTTCATCACCAAAAAAGCTCAAGTTTTGAGCAATTTTATTTTTGCTCATGAGCTTTTTTTCCCCTTTTCCCTTTTCCTCACCGTTGTAAGCCTTGAGTATTTTTTTTCCTCACAAAAAAAGCTCATGAGCAAAAAAAAAAAACTCACCATTGCTAGTGCTCTGACCTAGACTTAACTTTGGCACAGGTTTGCATCATCTTTTTATCTGTTTATATACTTACATTTATTTTTTTCTTCCTATTGTGGCTAAATGTAATTTCCTTTAACTTTCATATATTCTCAAGTACTCAAGTCAAAACCTTGCACTCTAACATGACTGTTATGGATGAAAACCAAGATTTCTTGTATTTTCATAAAATTGCCTAGTTTGACTCTTCAAGATGTTCCAATGTCGAACAGCAATGCAGTGGAATTACCCGAGTTTAGGTAACATAGGTCTAAAGAAACTAAAAATCTGTATTGGAAAGATAATTTGTATTAATTGCTCAATAGAAATGACCTTCTCATGACTCAAGATTAGTTGTTTGCAATAAACAAGGTATGTTTTGGATACATAATGGAGGGAGTTATTCTGCTATAATTGGAGCAATGATGGGTGCAGTAGTAAGTGGACATGATTCATATTCTCAGTGAACTGTTATATTTCCTTTTTCTCTTAATCAACCACTTTTATCACCTGTCAAGACAGTATTCAGTCTTTGGATCAATATTGACAATTGGAGCAATGATGGGTGCAGTAGTAAGTGGACGGATAGCAGATCGTTTTGGGAGACGGGGTGTAAGTTGTTTCACTCTTCCTACCTGATCCTTGGCAAATATTACTGATATATTTATCTTCCTTTATTCTTATTTCAGTGATCTTTTCTTACAGGCTATGGCATTCTCGGAACTTCTTTGCCTTGTAGGAAGCCTTACAATTGTATTTGCTAAGGTTTGGATTCTTATCTCTTTCAACTGTGAATGTCCAGGTACCCTTATATGTATCTTAATATTCAGATTCTCATCAATATAAGCAAACACGTGCTGATAGTGATGGAGTTTAAAACATATTCGTGGGCCTCAACCACCAGCTTAAGCTTTAGGTTGAGTTGGTCCTCCAACATGCTATTAGAGTCGGGTTTATACTCTATCAGATAGGAACTGATAATATAATTGCATATGCCAAACGAACATAGTACATTTACCTTTTTTTTTGAGAACTGTTGCATTGTTTTTGTTTTTTTTACCTTTGAAAGATGTTCTTCCAATCTTATGTAGTCGTGATTAATGAATCCCATTTTTTCTGAAGGTGGCCTGGTTACTTGATGCTGCAAGGCTATTAATTGGTGTTGGAATTGGGATCCTCTCTTATGTAGTAAGTACAAACATCATATACAGCATTTAGCTCAATTTACTTGCATCTGATTGCGAAACATTGTAATTCCTTTCCTAAAATCATATATCACAGGTCCCTGTGTATGTTGCCGAAATAACCCCTAAAAACCTTAGAGGAGGATTTACAGCAGCCCATCAGGTTCTGTCTTGAATCTCTGATCTGGTTAGCTAACAACTTTAGCATTTATAGCTTACATACTCTCAATGGCAGTTGATGATTTGCTGTGGTGTGTCAACGATGTGGCTTTTTGGAATTATCATTCATTGGCGCATCCTTGCCTTAATTGGTACTCTTTGTCTATACCTTTGGCTGGAGTAGAAGATGGTATCAAAATTACAACTTCTTGACTTCTTTTCACTGTTTTCAGGGCTAATTCCAAGTATCCTACAGTTTCTTGGTGTATTCTTTATCCCGGAGTCCCCACGTTGGCTTGTAAGTGAAATACAGTATCCAGTATGTTATAGTAGAGTAGCTTAATTGATTTGTATCGAGCAAGGCTTGGCCTAGTGGTAAGGGTTTAACCTCATGACTTCAAGTTTTGGGATAAAAAACTACTAGGGTCTAGGGGATCTTTGGGGTTGTGAGATTCCCTTATCCGTACCCCTCACTGCCTCACCGGCTTTGCCAATTGGTATATGAGTATATATTGTTATTACTTAATCAAACACCTCTATTAAAAAAATAAAAAATAAAAAATAAAAACTGCAAATAGTCAGCTAGAAAAAATTCACAGGGATAACCTGGAAATCTTGTACAGGCAAAGAATGCAAGATGGGAAGAGTGTGAAGATGTTTTGAAGTCCCTAAGGGGACAACACGCGGATACTTCAGCAGAAGCTGCTGAGATTAAGGTGATTTATCCAATTTCTTGATTTTTCTTGTTTTTGTGAGTCCTTAATTTGCACAGCATGGAGAACGACTTAAGCCTTAAGCCTCTTACATGTTTCAGGAGTATACAAAAACCCTTCAGCATTTATCTGAAGCAAAGTTTCTAGACCTATTCAAAAGAGAATACACGCGTTCACTGATAGTGAGTGTCTCAAACTATGCACTGCAGTCCCTTTTATGCCTTTCAATATAACTGTTCTTTCACGAATTGCTTTAAATTTGATATAGGTTGGAGTTGGACTGATGGTCTTCCAACAATTTGGAGGTGTTAATGGGGTTGTATTTTATGCAAATTCTATATTCGAATCTGCTGGTATTTAAATGCTTCTTCTTGGTACTTCTTCTAACGATGGAATGTTTGGGAAACTTTGCAGTTAATCCTCTGTTGTCATTAACTTTATGTTTGCTCAGGTTTCTCAGGAAGAGTAGGGACACTAGCAATGGTTGCAATTCAGGTTCACTACTTTCACCTTATTGTTGTTACTCAGAAATCTTCTTGTGCTGTCTCTAAGACTGTGTAACTGCCAATGACAGATTCCTATGACAGTTGTGGGCACTGTTTTAATGGATAAATCAGGACGACGACCTCTTCTAATGGTGAGTAATTTTAAGGTGAAGGAATTTTTTTGCATGCCCCTACATTGCTAGTAAATAGAGACCTGAAGATGTTTTTGTAAATTCAGATTTCAGCAGCCGGGACTTGCTTGGGTTGCTTCTTGACAGGATTGTCATTCCTGCTCCAGGTCCTCTTCTCGCTCACCCCAAATTCCCACCCCAACCTCTCCCACTCTCTTCCATGAGTCTAAAATATCATCTTCACCTGTGAAATTTCTTATAAAAATTCAAAAGTTCTTCATTTGCAGGATCTTCAGATGTGGAATACTGAAGCTCTCTTTTTGGCACTTATTGGAGTGTTGGTAAGATGCATTAGAGTAAACTCATGCCACCTTATTTTCTTTTCGTTTTTGCTTCCCTTCCTTCTACTTAATTACTTTTCGCTTTTGCTTTGATCTAGATGTTCTCTGCATCCTTCTCATTGGGAATGGGTGGTGTACCATGGGTAATAATGTCCGAGGTAGGATCTAAAACTCTATGCATCATATGCCTCCTTCACAGAACTTATAATTCTTCATGACTTTGTTAAAAAGTTGTCACAGTAGTAAGCTTTCATTTCATGTACTGACAGTTGCATATTTTTTCATAGATTTTTCCAATTAATGTGAAGGGTTTAGCCGGCAGTCTTGTCACAGTAGTAAATTGGCTTGGCTCGTGGATGATTTCGTTTACCTTCAACTACTTGATGAGCTGGAGCTCCCCTGGTAATGAACACAATTCTTTGCTGTCCTGAACTTTTTGTTTTCTTTGACAGTCACTTGGATATTCTGATATTCATATAACTTGGAAATTTTCATAACAGGTACTTTCTTCATATACTGCATCATTTGTGGTGCAACTGTTGTTTTTGTTGCGATGCTTGTACCTGAGACTAAGGAGCGTACATTGGAAGAGATTCAGGCATCCATGAATCCCGCAACATCAAGCAGATAGATATATTCACTGAAACTGGTATGTATCATCATCTATTCATTTTATTAAAAAAAATCTTTAGCCTCATCTGATTCATGTTTACATAGGGTTCACCTTGAATCAATCAATTTAAATTCTCCTACACCAATACTGTCTATATCTGTTATGTAAATATGTAATAGCTTATATTGCTATGACAGCTTCTTAAGTATGACATTCTAGCTGAGCAAACTGAGCATTTTTTTTTTTACTCAAAACTGAGCATAATTCTGATAAAATCTAAATGGACATTATCGTAATTTTGGTGCAGATACGTAGAGGTAAAGACAAAAGACTGAAAAGAGGTCATTTTTCTGTTAGGTATTTTTGTCCAAAATGTTACCGTGAACCTGCATTGTTACTTGTGAATATTCCAATCATCGTAAACCATGTACTACAAATCATATGTTGTCATTTTTGTTACACAGTTTGGCATACACATCACAAAGATGCCCAATACGCTATAACTCCTAAAACATCTCACATGATTATTATGTTTTGCTGCCTGTGCATGAAGTTAGTTAGGTTACCCGTACAAAAAAAGCTAAGGCAAAAACTCCACCAAAATTTGACCACTCCTTTTCCATCTAACTAACCAAATTATATATAACCACGTTCAGTTTCGTTCCGATCAAATCAAATCAAACTAAATCCGATCCCCAAAAGTGATTAATTTAATTGATTATTCACCATGGCAAACGCCCCTAATTCACAACAATCATCAAATAAGCCACCCCTTAATGGACCCTTGCTCGGTACATCCACACCCCGGAGTACAGGCTCAATCCACAAGACCTTATCTGGTGCAGCAAACCTCGCTAACCTTCTGCCCACAGGCACGGTCCTTGCATTCCAAGCCCTGATCTCTCCCTTCTCCCACAATGGCTTATGCCATGCTGTCAACAAATACCTTACGATCTCTTTGATCACGGTGTTTGCTCTCATTTGCTTCCTGTCCTCTTTCACTGACAGCTTCATTGGCCCTGACAGTAAGGTGTACTATGGAATCGCTACTCGTAAGGGTATCTACATTTTCAATGGGATGAAATGGGAGGATGAAGAGAGGAGAAATGGTAGAGAAGCAAAAGACTTCAGCAAATACAGGATTAGGTTCATAGACTTTGTTCATGCTTTTGTTTCATTGGCTGTTTTCTTGGTGTTTGCCTTCAGTGACTATCATGTGTTGAAGTGTTTTATTTGCAATCCTACTGAAAAATATTGGGTTAATTCATTACTTCAGAATTTGCCCCTTGGAATCGGAGCTTTGTCAAGTTTCTTGTTCATGCTCTTTCCTACTAATCGACGAGGGATTGGATATTCAGACAAGGCTGCTACTTAGCTTAAGCTTATTATTCTCAAATACGTTCCCCTGAATTTCTCTGTAAAATGGTAGGTACAACCATACAAGGCAATTATACACAAGGAATTTTATACAAATGAACTTCATTTGATTTACTTACAACTATTTTTCATCAAGCAGTACGATGTAATCTAATACATACCAACTCTGTAACTCCCTATTTCAAGTTTGTGGTACTAGCAAATGTAGCAATACTTATTTATCAACAAAACAAAGAGATACAATTTACTACCAAGTGTAAATTTTAGCCTTTTCAACAGAGCTATGAATCTCATCATCCTACAAATAATTTGAGATATGTGAGATGGTTGCAAGTGTCCCAAATTTACAATCCAATATGCTGCTCATTTTGGCTCTTAATAGCCATTGCTTGTTATACTAGTTATATTTTCTCCGTTACATATTAATTGCATCATTTAGTACACTAGTTGCAGACTACGGAGTGTATATTACATAAACTTTTACGCTTTCAAGTGATGATAGTTTTCCTCTGCCACCTTATTCCTACCACCACCACCACTGGCTCACCGCTACACCCTCACAACCCCGCCTGAACCGCACCATAAGTCCATAAATCCGGAACCCCTTCACTCTGATCACATATCCTTATAGTCTAGGGACCAGTACTCTACGAGTTCATTTGAGAGACTTTCCTTTAACCTTAACCTCACTGTAATGGCCACTTCTCCTTACCAATGAAACACAGAGATCGAAAAGGGGTACATACATGATACATATCTAGTTGAAGCACCTAAAAAGTGGCTAAACAACCGAATAAGATTGGTATATAAGTATATATTGTTAATTCTAGACTCCAGACTCCTAGAATCAAAGCTCAATTTTCAAACAGATAGATAGGATATATGCTTCTTCTATCTAATCTTGCTGATTCACCTCTATCTCCCTCTTTTGCATGATTCCAAAGCAGGAGCTCTGGAGCTGCTGCAATAGCAATCAAGCAAGGGCCTGTTCTTGCCGTTTCGAAGTTTTTGGTATGAGGGACAGGGATAAGAAGGATAAGCGGGTGTGATAGGATAGAAAATTGGTGAGTGAGATAATGTCCATAATGATGATATAAGTGTTTTAACTTCTTTGATTTAAAGCTAACTAGTTGTTGTGATAAATAAGTCTGGGCCACACTTGTCACGAGTGTCCACTTTACACAATCAAGGAGGTTTCACCTCAAAAATGAGGATAATAGCCCCGTAATTTTATAAAGTGGATACGGCTTTCTCTTTTCTTCAATGTGGGATACACTTCTCAATGTTCTTCTTCACTTTTATACTCTTTCAATATGGGACAACACTTTCACTCACATGTGAATTTTCTCGTGTGGCTCAACATGTTGTTAGTTGTTTCACACAAAATACTTAAAACTCATGGGGAGTAAGGTTTTGTTCTTAAAACTTAATTTATATTGAAGTTAAATTGTTTTTGTTAAACTCATATTATCTTTACTGAAATTAATGATTTTTGTTTGAAATTATTTTACATATTAAACTTAATCTTTCTCATTCACTATTATATTTTTTCTAATAATTATTGTATTATAATACTAACTAAGACGTTTACTTCACCTTAAAAAAAATATTCAATAAAAATAATTTAAGTTCAGTTTATTAAACACAATTTTATAAGATAAAGTGAAAACAGATTATTACTAAACTTAATTTATTTTTCTGAAATTCATTTAGGTCATTCATGTTCTCTTCTCATAATTTTTTTTAAGTGAAATTATTTTTATTAAAAATAAATTATTTGTGTTGGACTAAAATTATTTGTACTGATTAAAATTTATTATGACTGATTCTCTATTACATATATTTGCTCTTTAATATTCTTTCAAAAAAAATAATAATAATATTTGTTCTTTAATATTAAATCATAACCTATTTTTGCTGAACTTAACTTATTTTACTCCAGAACCAATTGAACTAAATCTTACTTTGACTTAATTAAATTATATATACCAAATAAACTGAGTATTTGAATAAGGTAAAACTAAATAAACAAATCCCACATTCTAATTGTGTTTCCTTATGCAAATCATACAACGTGGACAAAGTTATTTTATTTTGACTACCTGAATTATAAATTAGTCAATCTTCCTAATGAAGATAGTACATAGTTTTTTTTTGGCTTTTTAGTGAGATGTATCTATCTAAACAAATTTGTGCGTTATAAATATATTCATGAATGGACAACAATTTGAGTTAATATGTACTCCATATTATATACACTTATCCATATCAAAACCTTTTCTCTTACAGAAAGAAGTTCATATCAGAAAAATAAAATTTTAAATACAAAATTTATAAAAATTATATATTAATAAAATGTATATACTGATTAGGGGATTTTTCCCCACCAATCACCATCTGACAAGTGGACCAATCAGGTTCCGCCATGTGTCCGTCACATGGGCCAATAGGAGCCTGCCACGTGTCGAGCAATGATCCGTCCACTATGGACCAATTACGACACGACATGTGTCCTTCCCATGACACCTGGGATAACCGGTCACCTAGGCCCAACTTCCGAGGGAAGCTCAATCAGCCCAAGGTTAACCTAAACCTAGATTGACACGTTTCCCGAGGTTATAAATACCTCCCTTAATCCTCATTAAGGGAGATTACACGCTAAAAAACGCAGATTACACACATTAAACACTCTCACCTAGAGAGACCCAATCACTTTAATTTCCGCATTAATTACTCCTTAATCAAGTACTAACTAGACCGTCGGAGGCGGATCTCCAATCATCCGGAGCATCCGTTTGTTTTGCAGGTACAGGCGTCCAGTTCCAGTCTCGGAATTGTAACTCTCCCGCAGGACATCAGAAAACCCCGAAACATTTTGGCGCCGTTTGTGGGGAGAGTACTTCTGAGATGGCATCCACGTCTGTACCGACTCCTGAAGAGAGACGTCCCCTGGACGACCCTCTAGTTCAGTCGGACCACGATACTGAGAATGAATTTGAAGTTGCAGCTCACACAGCTTCAGACGGGACCCTAAGGGCCCGACGTACCCGTCATACCGAAAAGAGGGAACGGGAACATCTTCAAACTGGAAGCGAGCCAGCAGGCGCACCGCCTGTTCGGCAGCAGCCGACTGATGGGTCTGCTCCCATCACAAGGAACGAACTCATGACCTTCATGAGGAACTTCAAGGGAGAAATTCAAGAGTTGATCAACAAGAAGCCGCCTGCTCTGGACAAGGAGCAGTCGGCTAAGAAACCCTCCACTTCACTGAAGAGGAAACCAGTTCAAGGGCGAGAGGCGACCCCTCATCCTAAATCTAGGAAGTGGGAGCCACCTGCCCTTGATTTCACAAAATACCGTTTTCCTACTCCAGGAAATAGGAAACCTGTTCGTCATATTCAGGCGGACGGGTCGAGGAAAACATACACAGACGCTCGGCTACTGCTAGAGCAGAAGAAGAGTGACCGATTGTCAGAGTCGGCCTCTACTTCAAACTTCCAAGACAATCTGCGAAATACCTCGATGAGGCATACTCAGTCGTATCATGAGAGTCAGTCTGGCGGCACCTCCCGTCGGTCCGGCTTTCATAGCGACCAGGCGGTACCAAACTTACCGTTTGTACCGCAACAACAGTATTTTTTACAGCCGCCTCCGTTTGGTGGACATGCAGCAAAAAATGTCCAACCTATGGACTGGCAGCTACGGTTGCTTAGACTTGGTGAACAGCCGTCGGCCTTCTCCAAGGAAATTACTGAAGCCGCTCAGCCGGCCAAAGTGAAAAATGTATTAGTAGGAGCCTATGACGGCACTACTAACCCAGAAGACCATCTGATGGCATTCACCAACCTGATGTACCTTCAAGGGTTGGATGATCCCACTTGGTGCAAGTGTTTCCCAGCGACTCTCAAAGGAATCGCACAACAATGGTTCGACAACCTGCCGACTGGTTGTGTAAATAACTTCAAGACGCTTGCTTACTTATTCACCTCCAACTTCGCCATGAACATCCCTGCGAAGAAGACGATCCTTGATTTAGGAACAATTCAGCAGGGCGAGAAGGAGGGGCTTCGTTCTTACATCAGGCGGTTTAACCTGATGAGAATACAGATTCAAGGGTTACCGGATGAAGTAGCCTATACTGACTTTTTCAGAGGTCTCAAAGACGGGTCGACCTTCAAATTTGATTTGGTCCGAAAGAGGGTGGCGACTCTTCAAGAGGCCTTGATTGAAGCAAAAGCTTATATACAGGCGACTGATCTTTGTAGTACGGTAAAACAGTCAGAAGGGAGAAGGTCCGACAAAAGAGAAGGACGACAGAAACAGTCGTCAAACAAAGACAAGAAGAGAAAGAAGGTCTGGGCGGCTGATTCCTCTAAACAGCCGGCCCAGAAAAAGAAAAAAGAATTCAAACCATACTCCCCAAAGTATGCGTTTAACAAGGATAGCCAATTTATCCTAAAGGAAATCAAGGGACGGATCTCAATTGAGAAGCCGGTCCCCATGAAGGGTTCTGCAAACAATCGGAACCAAGAAAAATTCTGTGATTATCATGAAGATGTTGGTCATCACACTTATGAATGCATCAGTCTCATGCGGTATCTGGACCGCCTGGCTGAGCAAGGTGATCTTGACACTTATGTCAAGAAATCTACGGGGAACACTTCCTCAAAAAAGCAGTCGACCAAAAAGAATCAACAGGTCGACAGCTCCGATACAGATGATGCAGTCGTCTACACCATTGCAGGCGGCTTCTCAGGAGGCGGCCCCACTATTAGGGGCAACAAAGACAATATCAGACGGTTAGATGTAAATTCCGTTCACCAAGAACGGCCCTCCAAATATCCATTTCCTGAGATTGTCATCACTGAAGAAGATCTAGGAGGGGTAAGAGGGCCGCATGACGACCCTATCGTTATTGAATGTAAAGTGGCCAACCAGAGAGTTGGCCGAATCCTCATAGATACCGGAAGCTCCTCAGATCTCATCAGTAGCAAATGTCTGTCGAAACTAAAATATCAGACTGATTGCATACATCCGGCATCTCACCCTTTAGTAGGGTTTGGAGGAGGATTCGTCCACCCAGTGGGACGAGTGGATTTACCCATCCGCCTAGGCGAAAAAGGGGAAGGACGACACATGGTAGTCCGATTCCTAGTAGTAAAAGAACTCTCGGCCTACAACATGATTCTGGGACGACCAACCCTGAATAATTCCAAGGCTGTTATAATCCCATCTCTTATGTTGCTCAAGTTTGAGAGGGATAATGGAACAGTCGGGTCCCTAAGGGGAGATCAGAGGATGGCCCGAGAGTGCTATCTCTCGGATGTCAAGCCCACTGTTATGGCCACTGGGTCAAGTGGAGAAAAAACAGACCTTGACAATGTCAAGGAGAGTGCGCCTGTTCAAGAAACAGGCGGCAAAAAGAGAAAGGCGTCCCAGACAGAGTCCGCAAGAAAAGCGAGAAAATAGCAATCATTGGCAGAGGAGCGGTCGGATGAATTCCGCCCTCAGCCGGCTGGTGAGCATACGGACTTGATCTTAGACGATTCACGTCCTGAGCGAACAGTCAAAGTCTGGACGACTGCTCTGAGAGTCCTGGGTGACGACTTTCACAAACTATTGAAAGAATACAAGGACATCTTTGCATTCGAAGTCCATGAAATGCCAGGCATTAGTCCTGATCTGGCGGTACATAAACTGGCTTGGATCCGAAAAAGAAGCTGGTACGGCAGAAGAAGCGGAACCATGGCGAAAAAAGAAGTCAGGCGGCAGCCGCCGAAGTTAAAAAATTACTTGATGCAGGGTTCATTCGGCAATGTTACTTCCCAGACTGGGTTGCAAATGTGGTGCTTGTTAAAAAGTCGAATGGCACCTGGCGAATGTGTGTAGACTACACAGACTTAAACAAGGCGTGCCCCAAAGACAGTTACCCTCTGCCTAAAATTGATAACCTGGTCGACTCAACAGCCGGCCATGCTTTGATGAGCTTTATGGACGCCTACTCTGGTTTCCATCAAATTCCTTTATGGAAGAAAGATCAGGAGAAGACGGCCTTCGTCACTGATCAGGGGTTATACTGTTACACGGTCATGCCGATTGGTCTTAAGAATGCCCCGGCCACTTTCCAGCGAATGATAAACACTGTGTTCTTTGATCAAATTGGGAGAA